ATGATTTTTTACATGCACAAAAGTATGTGCCATGCGGGGATTCAGATATTGATGTCTAAATTAAGAGAACGATTCTGGATTATAAGATCTCGTAAGACGATTCGCAAAGTTTTAGCTCGTTGCGTGAGATGTAAAAGACACCAAACTACGAGGATCGAATGCAATCCAGGAGTGTTACCTGAAAACAGAGTCAAAGATGCATTGGTGTTTGAAATAACAGGAATAGATTTGGCGGGACCTTTGATGCTTAGAGAAAAATGCAAAGCATGGATAATTATATTTACATGTGCTGTCTACAGAGCCATCCATTTGGAATTGATAACTTCTCAATCAACACAAAGTTTTTTGCTTGGTTTACGACGATTTATAGCCAGACGAGGAAGACCGAAAGTTATTTATAGCGATAATGGCACCAATTTTACAGGAGCTAACAACCTATTTAAATCGTTAGATTGGAAAATGATCGAAATTGAAGCATCTGTGAATAGGATTCAATGGAACTTTAATCCTCCTGCTTCCCCATGGTGGGGAGGATTTTGGGAAAGAATGGTGCAGATGGTTAAAAAACTTCTTCGTAGGGTTTTAGGTCAATCAGCTTTAAATTATGAAGAAATGACGAGCGTCCTTTGTGATTGTGAGACAACAATAAATTCTAGACCTCTCACTTATGTCTCAGAACAAGGGGATGAACTCATTCCATTGACGCCAGCTATGTTCTTGAAAGAAATAGATGATGTCGGAGTGCCAGATTTAGATCAACTTGATCAAGTAAATTTGAATAAAAGATTAAGGTACCAGCAAAATTTGCGCAATGCTTTAAGAGAAAGATTTAGAAGTGAGTACCTTGGGCAATTATTACAACGACCATCAAAGAGTAAACCGATTGAACCTTTGAAAGTAGGAGATATTGTTTTAATCGAAACTGACGGTAAAAAAAGAACTTTATGGCCAATGGCTAAAATAATAGATGTTTTTCCTGGTAAAGATGGGCAAGTACGAGTGGTTCGCCTTAAAACTTCATCCTGTGAACTCGTCAGGCCTGCGCAGAAGATTTTCCCACTCGAAATTTCCTCACCCACTGAACCTAATCTAATGAATAATGACGCATGCAAGAATAAACCAGAGAAGGACTTGCAGGTAGTTGGAAAAACAGTAAGAACGAGAAGTGGAAGACTTATTAAAGTGCCAATTAAATTTTTGAGCTGAAAAACTTGGACTTTCGGAACAGTATTTTAACATTATAATTTTCATTCATTTTACTCATAGAAATAAAATTAGTTTTGATTAGTAAAGTAAACCTCCAATCAAAACGGTGGGAGGATTGTTACGTTTTGAAATAATAATTGGATAGGTTTTGTATAATGGAGAGTTGGGTGAAAGCGCTTTTATTTGTCTCCAAATAACTTTTGACTTATACAATGGAACTCTAGTTTATGTTTTTTAGAAATATGTTGAAATTTTGTATTCTTTTTTAAGAATTTTGTTTAATAAAATATAGGAGTGGAAGAAATAGGGTATATTTCTTGCCGTACTCAACAATTGGTACAGGTGTGGGACCCTTGCAATAAAGCATAAATTTTTTCTTACATCAGAATTTTTTTTTAATGTTGCTGACATATAAACATATTAAGAGGTTCTAGACACAGGTCTGGCAGTATCAGAATGATATTTCACTAATTTTCTTTTTAGAAACAGAATGCTTCTCTTCTAGAACTTTAAACATTATTCATTTTATTATTATATTGTTTTAGCTGAGCCACTTTCTTGAAGAAAAATAGCTTTTGTGGTCTAAATAACATATTGTATTTACATGTGAAACGACAGTTAACTGTATGTATGTATGTAGAGGATTTAAAATGGTCAAGATATGGGAATAAATGAAGGACATGCAAAAAGAAACACTAATATCTAAAATCTATGGAATATTTATTGGAGGTCACATTTTATTTTATTTAATTTCATAACCCTCGTTGAACAGCTGCCCCAATTTTTGGGTTTACAACTACTAATGTTCAACGCCGTAGCCTTGTAATTTTGAACCCAATCCAGAAGACAAGGGAACTTCTGGATCAAGTATTGAAAGAAATTTGCCTTTGCAGAGAACTTTTTTAAAGGAACTAACCCGCATTCATGTTACATGGAGAGGAAAACCACGAAACCCCCCAAGGTAAGCCTCACGGCAAGAAGACTCAAACCTATGATCCGTCTAGCACTAAGGATATTTTATGTCAGCACTGTGGTGGATGCAAGCCGGATGCGGAATTCGTATCGACCAGCCATTGCTGGGATTCAAACCTAGTTCACTTCATTATAAGGCAAACACTCTATCCCATGAGGCATAACAGCTCTGGAGGTCACATTTGATAAGTTTATTGTATGAACAAGTTAAGAAGTATGTATAATAATTTATGAAAATTAGTTTTGGAATGTTAAGAGAAGAAAGGAAGTTCATTTAGAGCTAATTTCTTTTAAAAAAAAAATTCTTTAAAGATTTAGCAGAATCAAGTAAAATTTCGTTACCTTTCACTATAAAATGACCCTACAAAATTCTTAAATCAAGAAAATTCAGTGATTTTCAAATGCAACTTCCCAGGACTTGTCAATTATATTTAAATAATTTATTAAGTTTTGAAAAGAGAATTATGATGAAAATGGAAGATAAGTCACTTACTTTAATCACAACTCCTTCAAATAGTCTAATATGGTTGGCAAGACTAGATTTTTCTAACTTGGCACCAGATTTCAATAATATTGTAACCTTGTCACTTCCTTTTTTAACCCAATTTAAACTTCTGAAACTGAAACAAAGCATATTTTTAAGGATTACTTTTAATCAAAATATATTTATAAAGGTTGCTAAAATGAAAAGTGGAAATTTGTGATAGTATCAAAAATGTAGTAGTAGTAATAGCATTGCCAACATTCAGGGTTATTAAGGAAGCTATAAGAAGTGCATTGCAAACCGCATATAACTTATAGACCAGTTTACATGAGAGCATTTCAGAATAAAATGAAGCTCAGCAAAGAAGGATCCACCCAGAACAGAATAACACAAATTAGTACTACTTTTAGTTGCAGAAGGTTCCTCTACTATTTCAGACAAAATGCTTCATAGTTAGCATTAGCCCGAACTCTTCGATTACCTTGAACAATTTTTTTAATAATAGCAATAGATTCATAAGAGATCACGGCATTTGCTTGCATTGATCAGTGGCGGATCAAAGACTGATGCAGATCTTTTATGCAAACTTTTAAATAATTTTTCCCAGTTGTTTCTGTGGCATCAGATGTAATTAACTGTGAACTGATATTTGTTGACTGTAACTTAGTATTAAAATATGTTTTATGTTCATAATGTATCTCATTTTTGAGTTGTTGTTAAATGTTCGTACATGATGCTAGAACATTCTCATCTATTTTATTAGCAGTATCTAGAAAGATACATAACCACACATGAAGGCAGCGGTACCAAAACAAAAATTATCGAAGTAAATTTAGACTCGCATTTGATGTTATGAATCTACATCATCATGAGAATGGTATAATATATAATGTTGCCGGAACCATTTCTATTATTTGATTCCGACAGAATGATCTAAATAGAAACTAAGATTTCTACATTTTCGAACTGCTTTGGGATTAGTTAAGAAGTCAGAAGAAGAACAAGTAGATATGCTTATATATGTCATAGGCGATAAAACCAAAGATATATTTCTTTCTCTCAGTCTGACAGATGCAGAAGTCTGACAGAGATAGAAAAAGATTTAAAGCGGTTCTGAATAGTTTTGACACTGACTTTACTGTTAAACAAACATACTACTTGAAGGTGCTAAATTCAATTGGCGGATACAAAAAGGTGAGTCTGTCAATAATCTGCGAATAAAGTAATTTACACGATAAATTGTTTTGTGACCAGATAATTGTTGGTATAAAATACGAGTTCACACCTTGCCACCTTGCAGCCTGCTGAAAATTAATATGCTGCCTGCAGAAGCTTTTCAACACAAGGGGGAAAAAAAAATTCAAAAATTTAGAATTGCACATTCAATTAATCTTTTCTTGACAAGCTCAATTTGCACAAATCTTATTGTAAATCTATGTTGTTTTTCAATTGTTTTTTCATTGGTTATTCCACATGGTTTTAAAAATTCCAATATATTTAATATTGTATTACAATATGCAAATTTCAAATTTCAGTAACCATTTTTGATTGGCTTTATTTTTACTGATTTTATCACAAATCCAACTGACTTTTTGATAATTTTTTCGGCAGTTATAACTAGAAATTTTCATGTGGTTTTTAAAATCCTGATTAATATGGTATTAGCACGATTATAATTATTAATTAACACGATATTAATAAATATGATAATTGGACAACATTCACTGCTAGTTGAAAATTCTATTATTAATGCTATGAGTTAAAAGAAAAAATATAATAAAATAACTAATGCAGACTAAAGTAATTCATGATTCTAAAAGCAAATATCAAGATTCAAAAAGTAACTATCAGAGTAAAAATTGCAAATGGTGCGATAAACAACCACAGAAAAAAATAAAACTGCCCAGCAAGACTCAAATTGCAGAAAATGCAAGAAAAAGGGACATCTACCATTAAATTAGTTGGAATAATAGAATTAGTAGGAGATACACAAAATACAGATGAGTGGGTTGTTCCTGTTAAAATATTAGAAACATGCATTTAATTTAAAATTGATGGTTGTGCAGACCACTTTCTTATTCCAAGCAGTATACGGCCATCACGTTGTTAAAACATGCTAAACTAAAAGGTGTGGTCGTAGGTATAAAGTAATTTTTGACCCAGATGAAACACTGTCAAAGTTAATAGGATCTGGGATTCAAATCAAAGAGAGCATGACGAACATCTAACATCAACTTTAATCCATCTGAAAGAAACAGGAATAACCCTTAATAAACAAAAATTTTGCTTCTCCATCAAATCTATAAAAAATTTTGGTAACACAGTTTCTCCAAGACGGAATTTTTCATATACAGCAAACAATTGGTAATAAATCTCTCATCTTGTATCATTAAAAATTGTACTTTTGCAAATAACTTTGTTCCAGACGCATCATTCTTAGCAAGTCTTTATATCAACTTTAAAGGTTCTTCTCAGGCTCATAGCCAAAAAGGACCAAAGCGAGAGGAGGTGGGGTCCCACCTAGCAGTCATTTACTCCCAGAAAGTTTACAAAAAAATTAATTTTATCAAATAAAGATATTTTAACTAGTATCTTTATTTTTTTATCAAATAAAGTATTTTAATACTTCAACAAAATCTGTCATGTTGACCATCCTCATAAAATGACCACTTTTTCCTTTTTGACCTGCTGACCATTGCCCTCTTTCAAGAACCAAATTTATTCCGCATAAGAGAAAACAAAATCTTTGTAATCTGACAATCTGTTTATCATACTATATGTTTGCATGCTGGCTGGTGAAACAAATGTATTTTATCAATTAGTATTATTGAATGATGTCCAAACCCCTTTATAAATTGACCAGAAAAAGCTTTTTAGAAAGATTTTTACACAGTTTGGTTGTGCATTAGAATTTTACTGAATGGGTGAGAAAGTATTAAAAACTAACTTGAGTCCCCTCCCCTTTGTGAGTTGATGATATGGAGAAAAAATTAAGGACTTACGTTTATTTTATAAAGGTCAATAAATTTATCTTGTAAATATAACAAAATAAATTCTAAATTTCCCACATCATCAATTTTCTTCATTTGAACAATCCTTGCATTTTAAAATCGTAAAATAGTTAAGCTGTACATGTATTAAATATATTTATCTGCAATACTTATACAATGGAAAATTAAATTTTACCTCACTACATTGTTAACTTTTTCACCAGAAACTCTAATGGCTTTTTCAGCTAAAGCATGCGTAAATAGAGAATATGGATGGGAGATAATTGTATAATATAAACCAGGAGCAGATGAAAATAATCTATTTGGACTGTCACAATTTTTATTAATTCCTGAAACCATTTGAGCTTCTTGGCATAACATCATCAAATTTGTTCCAAAAAGACATTTCAAAAGCTGAAAAAATATATAGGACATTAGATTAAGATTCAATTTTCAATAAAAGAGTAAAATTTAAAAAAATTTTTTTTTACTATTTCAAATACCTAAAACACCAGAAAAAGTATTTAATACAATGAAAGAAAAAGAAATAACTAACCTGTCTCACACACTGTACAGATGAACTAGGTTCCATCACCATAATTGATTTTAAATAACATAAAATTTCTTCTGCATTTTTGCCCATTTCAGTAGAATCACATATTTCAAGAATTTGACACATTACTTCTAGACAACAATGCAGCAGTTGACAAAATTTTTCATTACTTTGAAAATCCATAGAGATCTAAAAATTATAAGTTTCTTAAAAACACAAAGGAATAAATTAAATTTACATAAATAAAATACAAAATAATATTTAAAAAATTGTTAATTTGAAGAGATAAATGGACAAACAAGTCAAATAAACATGTCACAGCTAAGAAACATCTAAATGTACGATATTTAAATCGCCTGAATAAGAATCGCAACATTCAGCTTTCAAATCAGGTAAATACAAAAATTGATGTTTGATAATAAAATCACAATTTCAAAAATGCATAAATATAAAACGCGACTTTGGATTTTTAAATCTTGTAAATACGAAACGCAATGTATGATATTTAAATCGCCTGAACAAGAATCGCAACATTCAACGTTTAAATCAGGTAAATACGAATATTGATGATTGATATTCAAATCGCGTGAATATGAATCGAGATATTTGTAGAGTCTGGGCTTGGGATTTCTAAAATGCTTGTTTGTATTGTTTTTGTTTAGACATAATAAATAAAAATCTAATACAAGACATACAGAATGCAAGATTAATTGAATGAGCAAATAAATCTTTTCACCACAAATTCACCTCTATTTTTTTTTATTTGGTTTCAAGCCAGAAAACAGGAAGCAGCGACATCTGAATTACGAAAATGCGAGCTATCCGGCAGACAGATAAAAATACGGAAAATTTTATTTTCTGTGCATAAAAGCGGGGAAAAAAAGATAAAATAAGTAAAAATGCAGAAGGGTTAGCAGCTAAGACGTAGTTTGAATTTTCTGTTTATCTTTGAAAATCATAAATAAATATAATTATTTTATTTCAATGAATGAATTTTTTTAAAAAAAGTAGGATATTTAATTGTAAAAAAACCCGAAACTTTTAGAGAATTGGAGTTTTTGATAAAAAGGCTGAAATTCGAAAGACAAAAGCGAAAAAATCTCATCCTTGCATAAAGGTCAACCAGTTCCTATTAGAAATAAAGGAACTGGTTGAGGATGGTTTTAAAAGAATGGTTTTGATTGAAGTGATTTTAAATGGAAATGATTTTTAGGGAAACTTTAGAGGGAGAAATGAAGACTTCAATACTTTCGCTTCACAGAAAATTAAATTCCTCATAAAATACTTTAACTTGTGCAAAAAAAAAAAATTTCTACCGAAATTAGCGGGAAAAATTGAAAAATCTGAAACAAAGCAGAAATCCGCGGAAGAATCACACCCCTGATAAATTCTTGCATAAATTAAATTATCATTTATAAATTAAAGTTTTTAACATGCCATTTTTATATAAATGTCTTATTTTAGTTAAGGGATAATGTTCAATGTAATTGAAATGAGGTAGATTTTTAAAAAATTTTACCTTGTAACTGCAATAAGTTCCTCTGAGTATATCAAACAGTTTCATGTACAAAGGATGGGAGTGAAAAAGACCAAAACTGCCAGATATTCTACTACCAGATCTTTCTTTCTCTATGTCTATTTTATCTGAAAAGGAAATAAAATAAAATGTAAAATTAGATTACCTTAATCATAAAGGTTACCCAAATAAAATGCAGACAAAGTCAGTTGCAGGAAAAGGTCAAAAATATGACATATGCTGTTAACTATAATCTCCTATGTATCCATTATTGCTGCTCTTGATAAAATTATTAGAGGTTATCAAAGAGTTATGACTCATGACATTTGCACAGCTTTTCGTCTAAGAGGAAGTGTGCAATTAAATTCTGCCACTAAAAGTCATACTACTTTGGCCTTTTCTCTTCTGGGTGCATCCATTTTAACATGACTTGACACTAAAAGCTCTCCAGAAAACTGGTTAATTTTATCAGGGACAGTATAGTAAAATTTGCCTTAATTATTAAGAACAATAATATAAATCACCAAAATTGTAGTAGATTTTACTTGTTAAACTATGGGGTCTTTAGGTAATCCCTTTAAATTTTGAAAATTCTGAAGATAAAGCAGATTGCTTCACTTTGAATGTGCATACCATGATCACAATTTTACTGAATCTTCTAAAAAAAATTTAGTTAATAAGTTTTTCTGCCTAACAAAGGATTAATTAAATACCTTCAGCCTGAGATTCACTCTGATACTCCTTCATAACTCTGAATAGTGGTGCTCCTATCCCTACTGTACTTGTGACGTTGTCACATGTATCCACTTATCATTTTGGCAACCCATATGTTCATCACCATTGTTGGTGAAATCAGTTTTTTCAAAATGAGAGTTTCCTTGAACAGTGAAAAATCACCAACCTTTTCACTGCATTACTGTGAACAATGGAAAATTAAGTTATAACTAGTAAATTATCAAACATATCTTTTCTTGAATTGTAGTTAAGGTAGAACCCTCAACTTTGTGATGCACCAGTTAAGGTTTTGGCTTGCCACATGCTTTATTCAAAAGCATGAAAATAAAGTATTATTAGGACAATGCACTAAGATAACAACAATGCACTAAGCAAAGGAGAATGCACAGTTCATGCTAGAGATCGGCATAGCTGTATGCAAATCTAAACGTCACTGACAATGTACATTAGACTCTGACAATGTACATTAGAATGCACAGAGAATCTTCGCTGACAATGTGCATAATTTTATTGATGAGGAAGACACAGTGCATAAAGAACATGACAACATATAAGATAACACATAAAATTAATACAATAATGCCTGAAAGAGGGTGACAAATGTCAGCAAAGTAGAAGACAACATTATCAATAACACTGAAGAACAAGTGACAGCTCCATTTAAACTCTAACATTATTTACATGATGCCAATACCAACACACCTTGACAAAAGTAAACTATTAGAATTACATCTATTTGATGACCCCACTCCCTAGTTGTAGACCATGTGTTCACCCAAACAGGAGTAAATAAAAATCCCAAACGTAAAAAAAAAAGACATAGGCATTTTGACTAGTAAAGACCGCTGATCGGTGCAACTGGTGTGGAATGCACAAAACTTGACATAGCTACTGCTTAATTATAGTCAATTATGCACAATAAACAAGGGAAAGAAGATAATGAATAACGTATTAAAATAAATTTTTTATAATAATGGCAAAAATCACACCTTGATGCAAAGATCTATAAAAATTTCACCAGAAAAATTTTAAAACTACATCAAGTGATAATTTTGATGGCATTTGTAATATAAAAATTTTTATGTAAGATACTCTTTGTCATGCATTTTAGCTTAAAAATTGCATATTATAACATTATTGCAGTAATTATGATGAATACAATAATTAAAATTTATTAAAAGATAATTTCCTATTAAGTTCAATTGACTAACATTTCATACCATCAATTTCTAAGAAAAAGGTTAGTAAATAAGTTTCTCTACTTAATCAAACACAGAACCACATTAAAATAAAAGGAGGGTTAACCCTTCTGAAAAATAGAAAATTAAATTCACACTAAATTATATTTACTACATTACTTACCATAAAAATTTTTAAGAAAACTTTATTAAAAGTATTCATATGTATTTTTGGTTTGACAAGTTTTTTACAAGTTCACAAGTATATTCAGTTTCAGCTATTTTATGTTTCATTATTTACATTTTAATATTATTATTATGTAGTTTTAACTCATTTTTAGACAAATAAACATTTCAGATTCTCTAATTAAAACATAATCTTAAAATCTTATACATTTAATTGTCTTTTACTTTCAAATTGGCTAATCAGCTCTTTTATATTTTATTCAGTTATATAATATTACACCTTTTAATGCAAAGGGATGGTGGCAGTCAAAAGAGGCAAAATCAATGATTTTGTCTATTTCTGTTGCTTCTGTGTCCTTGGCCAATGTAGTTTTCCTTGTTTTATTTCCCAATTACTCTCTATTTCAACAAAAACTTTTGTTTTATAGCTAAGCAGCTTTGTTTTCTTCATTGACATGTTGTTATCTTGAAAATGAGCTACCTACTCAAACACTAGAAATTTTTTGACTTTTTCCTACTTTAATTATGAAATAAATGAAATTTTTATTGAGAAGTACATCATTTTGCTTAAATTCATTGGGATTTTTCATTCAATACTAACCAGGTATTTTAATAGGGGATCCTTTCAAAGTTGGGCTTGCTGTAGGTGTATCATCTTTCGTTTTATTTTTTCTCTTAATTGGACTTAAGGATGGTGCATTTGGCAAAGAAGGCAAAGCCGTGCGATTGGTATGTGAGATTGGATACTGTTCTTCTAAGACATGGGTATAAATATTTAATAACCTAAAAATAAAAGATAAAATTAGCAAAAAAAATTTGACTATACACTAATAAAAAAATAACACATAATTAAGCTTATTTATTGATTGAATGATGCAATATAATAAATTTTGAAATGATAAATATTTATAATGCAATTACTTATTTAGTTGAGCATTTGTTATATAGAACTAGTAGTAGCTAATAATTGAAAAATGCCTATAACTTTCTAAATATCTGAACATGTAGTTGCGATGCATATTTAAACAGTGAATAGACAAATTTTTAATGAAGCTGTTATCCAAAAGAACTACAAAATAACAGGATGGCCAGAAGGGTGGATCAAAAAGTAAAATTTTAGAAATTTGCTATCGAATAGTGTCTAAGGCTTGAACCAGACATGCGGGGAAAAAATTTAAATATTTTAAATTTATTTTAAGTTCATTTATTGGCACATTTACTTTGAATGTTAAGAAATTACTCAAATTACAATTTTATCTTAATTCTTTCTTAGAAATGTTTTCCATCACCATTAAAGCAAGAAAAGAAATCAGCAATACACATGGAGGCAAAAAGAAGAGGATTCAACATGTTTCAAGTGAACGAATAACATTGAAGGCATCAGAAATGTTAGGTAGAAAACCATTTCATAGGAAAGTTTGTTCTTTCTCCACATTTAGTATAGTGATCGGCTCAATGCTAGAGGGCAGGAAGTATGAAACATGTTACACAAATTATATGAGTGTTATCCCTGTTTCTGCCAAACTAAACAGAAAAGAGGAAAGTAACAAACTAACGTATATTCAGAAAAGTGAAAGTTGCAAACATTCATCGGAACACTAGTTTTGCAGCACCAGTAACGAGCGTAAAAACCCTTAAATTTTAGTCTAATCTCCATCTAAAAAAAGTTAAATTACACTTTACCAAAGCAAACTACAAAACCCCCTAAAAACATGTTTCTAGCTCTCAAATTTCAAGTCCGAAAGGTTCTATCTCTTATACTGAAGACCCAAAGGACAGATCTCAGTAGCCACCACTTATGGACTTGTATAGTTTACATATCAGAAGCAGAAGAGGTAAAGCCTCTTCTAAATAGATTGCATTGCATTGAAGTTTTATATAAAGTTAAAAATTTCAAACTATTTGTTGCAGAATTTTTATTCAACATATTTTTCATATCATTTCATTATTTTGTAACAATTTAGGTCAAAATAAGTGAAAAATATATTTAGCATTTTAACAATTTATGGTTATGAAATATAGAATAAAATAGTGGTATCTTTTTCTGTATTAAAGATAGAATCTTCCAAATATGGCTCACTGCCAAACAATAATTTATCAATTTGCAATTAATAAAGAAACAGTTATTCATCATTGAAATTTCTTTAATTTACAACATCAATTATTGATAAATTTTCAAATATGAATGAAAAAGAATTTTCAAACTGCTTTTTTTGGATTTTATATATTAGTGCAAATATAATTCCGATAATCTAACAGATTTTTTAGTATTTATTAAACTGTTTTCATAATAAAAAATACAAAAATTTATTTTCGCTTGCAATTAGAGCGTCAAAAAATATATAAAAGGGACACCTGTGTGGCAACCAGGTCAAAGGGTTAAACCAGAGCAACAAAAAACAACTATCAGTTTAATTGAAAAGAGCATCCACTACAAGCATTTTCTCCCTTTTTTTCTTTGGAGTACTAAAACGTCAGACCTTAAGAGCCACAGTAAGAACTCAACTCAGCTAACTGGCGAACTCCTCATGCAAAATTCCTCAACAAAGTTACAAACATCCCCATTTGGAACCAATCAAAAGCCTAAAATACAGTTAAAGAAAATACCCAACAAACAAAGGCACAAAGCAAAACAGACAAAGACACTTCATGATTCTTGACTCAAATTCAAAAACTCTGAACCTAACAAGAGTTAACTAATCCCCTTGTAAAAAAGTAAAGAAAAGTCCCCCAAACAACCTAATTCACAAAACTCGAATAACATTTTAAATTAAAACCCAAATAATTAATTAGAAATAAAGCCACTTGTATATACTTCATCGAATCACACACATATTAAAACTCAGATTCTAACAGAGAACATTGTTTTTTGGACATAAATTAAATTTACCTACAAAAAATATAAGAAACTCTCAAAAGCAGTCTTTTAACAGAATAAAACTTCAAATTCAAACAAAAAAATTTATTCAATTAACAATTCTAACATTCATAGTTTCTAATTTCAGTTTAAACATTCTTAATTAAACTTTAATAAGTTCAACTTTTCAACATTTTCCACTAAACTTGAAATTTAACTGACAATATCATAAAACTTATAACTTATTAAATTCCATGTTCTAGAACAAGCTCTAGAACTGTTCTAGAACAAGTTCATTTCAACTAACGTTGGAATTTCCATGACGACATCTAAAATACAGATCTTCCTGTCTTGTAGAGGAATCTCCAGCAACCAATCCCCATTAAATCCCCCTTCAGTTTTGTCTTGAACATGGCAACTGATCTGGGCCTCCATAACTCAGTTTGGTGGATACAGAGACTGAGAGCATAGTGAGAGATAGCAAGATATTTTTAGCAACAATAAAAAACTTTAATTTAGAAGTATTGTGAATATTTACATATGAGTATGAATTCAAGAAAAAACAGTCCATAGCACTTAAATTTTCCTGAAAATTACAGCGTTATGATAAGCAAACAGTAAGCTTAAAGTAAAAAAAGGCAAAAGCCTGATATCAAAACCTCTCAGACTTTGAAACAAAGTTGTGGATGCATCAAAAACCAATTTATAATACACTGGACATTTGCATATCATTAAAAGGAAAGAATCAAATTTAGCTGTCATTTTTGTGCACATGTTGAAAGTTTAACAAGTTAAAAGAGAGGAATGTGTCAACCTCCCAGGAAAAATGTTAACTTTGAACTATAATTTTTCTACATCATAATGAGTTAAAAAAAAACCTGATTTGAGGAACGATTTGATTGATTAGTCGAAATCTTAAATATTTCCAACAACTTTGGAGAAACTTAGCTCAATTATGAAAAAAATAATAATAATTTTTCGGCAGCATGAAGCAGAAATTTTGTTTTGGAGCAGTTTGGTACAATTTGTGCAGCTGTTCCAATCACACATTTGTTTTCGCTACATTTTACAATTGTTTTTTTACAAAAAAGTGCAAAATAAACCAACAGCACAGAAATGAGAACTCAGTAAAAAAAGGGGGGAATGATAAGGAAAGGAATAACCATCCTGTTAAAGAGAGTTTGTGAAAGTTTAAATTTATGTTTGAGGAAATCTGCTAAAATTTCATCATAAAAGTCATTGATTTACAGAAATGAGCCAATTAACGCTCTCACAATTCACTGAATTCCACAAACTAGCAGAAAAATCCCCAGACCTGATCTAAGTTTTAAACCCAGAAGGACAATACAGAAAAGATGAAATTCCTGGGTACAAATATATAATTTAAATTATTTTGTTAAAATAAAAGTAAAAAAATATTTTACAAACCTCATTACGTGAAGAAATATTTTTCCTACAACTATTGAAAGATAGGAATCTATTTTGCTATCTTGAGATCCAGCATTTGAATTTTTATGTTTCTCCACATTAAGCCTATACCAAACACCTATAAAAAAAAAAACTTTTGGAAAAAAAATTCAACTTAGCAAACAAATTATATAATAGAGTTTTATAAAAATGTATAAGGAATATACATTTGTTTAAAAAAAATTTATATCTTAATTCAGATCAGTTTTTCAATATTGACACCTAAAATGTAGCATCTATCATGACATTTACTTCCGATTATTGGAAAAATGAATAATCTGTAGATGAACAACTATTAAGAATATTGTGTGACACATCACATGTGCAAAAATAAGGAACATCACACAAAGAAAATTTGTAGGCACTATTTATTGTCAGCTAAAACAAAGGGAGTAATAATTTGCAGGCAATGTCAAGCAACATATTAAATTTTGCAGACAGCAATATTAGTTTTGCACACAACAATAAGTAAAATCAAATTTTAGTGTGAAACTCACAGTTCTAGTGACAGAGGAGATTTTGTCACCATCAAATCACACAACAGAAAGTTTGTTGGCTACTTAAACCCTCCTTATCTTAGTCCTAAGAATCTTTGACAGCATCAGACATCTTTGCCATGATAGCAGATTACTTACAAATCCATGTTCAACATTTTCCTCAGGGGCATGAACTGGTGGTACAGAAGAAAAAGCAAAGCAAGAAAGCTGGTCCAAGTGACCACAGTATTTATACAATTATCATCAAAGAACAATTTGCTGAATATGGATGTATATAACCTTACTGTAAACTAGCACAATTTAGTAAAGCTGGATTGACACAATAAAGTGAATCCATGGAACCTTACAACTGAAACATATATTGTAGAAATTACAAAAATTTGTAATTATTTGATATCAAAACAGTGATTTTAATGTTATCTCACTAGGTTTTATTTTTGTACTGTTTGATTTTTATCTTCAAAAATTAGATAACAATAGCTATGCATGAAATGTATATAAAGCATACATAGCACATCAAATTCAAGATTTTTGAAAATTTTTTGAGCAAACATAAAAGCATAAATGTAGTGTACTTCCTTATTTGTAAACATAGCCAATGAGTCATATATAGGTATAAATAAACAACAGATAAATTCAAACATTTTTAAAATTAACAAAATTAATCACAACGTCACTGAATTAAAAGATAAATAGTAAGGGAAGCTATAATGATGATTTACTGCATCAATAGCATTAAATTATTTACAGATCATTTTTACCATTTCTTTTAAATAAAAATTAATTGGATTTTATTTTGAAGAATGAATTCATTTATTCTATACATACAACATAACTGGCAGTATAAGTTACAAAATTAATTCTATAATTCCATTGTAAGTAGTAAATATTGAAAGAAAACAGAATCCAACTTAAAAATGATGATAATTTGAAATTTTCATTGAAACTTAACATTATATATTGCCCATATTAAATCAACTGTAATATGTATTAAAAGACAAACATTAGGTATAATTAGATTTTTATTATATAATATTAGAATTTTTTTAATTATTGTAATACTAAAATTACCGCAAAGAAGATTTCCAACCAGATGTAAAGCATGCTGATGAGCAATAAGGTCCAGGCATAAAGATGTATTTGTGACAAGAGAAATTAAATGACACAATAAATCTGAAAAGCTATCAACTCCTAATGAAGTATCTATCTCTAGTATCTCACTGCAAAGTAAAACAAAAAAATATAAAATAGAATATTTAAAACTCAATAATAAATAATGTCAAAACTAGGTAGGAGATATTCTAAGTACTTAAGAAAAAATGAAAAAAAAAACTACAATAATAAAGTGGTAAGTTTCGTACCCAGAAACATTAGAGCTTTATTACATCCGGAAAATATATTTTTTCAGATATTAGATCTTCAAAATAAACAAAGATCAAAACATGTTATGCAAGAAAAAATTTAAGGTCTATTTAAATTCAAGAACATTTATTTAGATAACGTGAATGTATTGTCATGAATTTGTAAAAATGTGCATAATTTTGTAAATATTCTTTTGTTATTAGGCTAAATACCTCAGACAGACCTTAAATAGACAGTTTAATTACAAAAATGTTAAGAAAATCGTGTAATTCTAACGTAATTTAAAAAGAAAATAATGCTTTATTTGTGCTGTTATTGAGTGCTAAAAACTCCTGCATTTTCTGGAAGATTCCACCAATAAATTTTTGGAGACTTAAAGAATGTTTTATTTATCTTCTATCATGAGAACTCCTGTGCTTGATACGTTTTTGGTGCCAAAAGTGGGATTGGAGTGAATGCCAATTACAAGAGCAATGGCTACGCATAAGTTGGTGGAGATGCTTCAGAGATGGAAGAACAGATGGAAGTGAGCCAAGAAGTTCAAGTTTGACGCCAGTCAAGAGAAGGTGGAGACAAAGTTGGACCCCAATCAGGAAGAATTTAAAAAAGAAATATCCTATGTAAAAGACGTTCTTCTGAAGCTAAAAGCTGTGGGAAATAGAATGAATTCAGTAGAAGAAAGAAATTGAGGAAGATTTTGATAAGAAATTGGATTCGAAAATAAAATTCCGGGAAAAGAGGCTAGAATCCAAGCCAGTTACTTCAGAAATAAATTAATGCTTTAAAAATCTCCAGCTGTTATCAAACTTTCCACTTTTAATGGAAAATCATCTTGGCAGGAGTACAAAACTCAACTCTTCATTGTCGCTGAAGCTAACAAATGGGACTAAACACCCAAGGCTTTTCATCTCGCGGCTGCTTTACAAGATGAGGTCGAAATCTTCGGAACACTCACTGAAGAGCAGCACCAGGATTTAGAAGTCCTTTAAAGTTCATTGGAGTAGCGATTTGGAGAAAAATGCTCAAGAGAAAGCAGCCAACTGCAACTGATATCCCGCTATCAACGATCATGTGAAAGTGTCGAAGAATTGGTCACTGATATTCAATTGCATCTTGCATAATTTAAACAAATCATTTCAATAAAGTAGTTAAAATGATAGTATTTTACTAAAATGTTTTGATAGGAGTGAGCAAATCCAGTATTCAACTTAATGCACAAGTTCATACATGTGACAGCGCATTCTGTGTTGCATGCCGCGCTCGACAAACTGGAATTTTTACGTTTTTACGAAAATCAATTTAATATTTAGGTACAATAATCTTGAAAGAATAAACTATTAAAATATTTCATTTTTTAAAATTTCACTGTTGTTTCCTCTTAAATGCTTACTTGCATGTTAAAATAATAAATAAATTGTTAAGATATAAATAAGCATTTTTAAAATTATCAGTTATTGTATCTTTCATCATATCCGTATATTTATAGATGAAAAGTGAATCTTTTTAGATTCTTTATTCAAAATATTAATCAACAGTTACACCTGTAAAATGCCTTTTAATGGTTCAGTTACTTTTAATTTGGGGCTTAAAATATTATTTTACCATTTGTTTTTTTAAAAAAAACGACAATAAAACCAGTTTAAGCCACAAAAAAAAAAAAAAAANTACCAAAAAAAAAAACTGTTAACTAAGTGAAAAATAAACGTACAGCATTATTTCTGCTCTCGCAAGTTATTGATCAACTTCATTTAATATAAGTAACTTTTTAACAAAAGCTCTACAGCTTTATTTCTTTGCTAATGCTATAGTGTAATTTACTCAGAACTAATAAAACAAATATTAACAATGTGTTTATTAAGTTACATTTTTTGTTTTTGAAAAAAAAAAAGAATTTTAAGCAACAATTACTTTTACTTTGTTTTGATCTTAATAACCGTAAAAAAAAACTTCTCTACAGCTATCAAGATCATTTATCTTTTTGTCTTAGATAGATCAACATTTCTTAATATTTTTTTACCAGATACTTGCAATTACGAGATAGCAAAGTTTTTTCCAAAATGAAAAAACAAATAGAAACAAAATACAGAAATAAATAAATTAAAATAATACTTGGTTGAACATTGAGTATGTAGCTTGAATGCCTCATTTAAAATTTTTTCAGCTTTGAAATCACAGTAAGTTATAGCCCAAGATTCGGGAAAAGCAGTCACAGAGTATTTTTCAGCCAAACAACTCAGAGCATTACAGCAGCCATACTAGAAATTTAGAAGAATATAACTGTTAAGTTTTATTAAAAAAACAAAAACAAACTAACATCATCAGCAATAAAGAAATTTACAAAAACATTAAATTATTTAAATACCTTTTCCAAATAATTATTAGTTAAGATGAGACTGTCGGAATAGGTGCAATAATTTTCCACAAAACCAAATCATGTATATTAGAATTATTTAAAACAGTATAACCTCAAAAACTCAGCAGATCCTGTGTTTTAGAAGTCTGGATTTAAGAAAATTCTAAATTTAAGATATTTTTCTTTTTTTTCTTCATGCTTTCAGATATTTTACCAATACTATAAAAATGCGCTGAATTATAAAAATGTGTCATATTATAAAAGGGGGTTGATCATAAATCATCGTTCAATAGTTACTCTACGAATTTCCACTTGGTTCTTAAAACCTCGATATTTCAATACAAAATTACAAAACGTGAATTCCGAGTTATGCTATTGAGTAATCTTTTTATCAGTTGAATTTTTGTTCTGTTTTTCGAAACAGTTATCCCGACACATTCCTTTGTGGTTTTTAAAATATCGATATTTTTAATAGAATATTATAAAACATATGAATTTTGAAATGCATAATCAAATAATCACTTTTTAACAAGCTTAATTTCCTCATAAATTTGCATTTTACATAAAAGAATAGCAGCCAGTGGTGATCAACTGGTCTGCCTGCACAAAATCACCACCTTGTAACTCCCCATTTATTCCATGGCACTTTCAATCTAAAATATTGTGATATGAGAAACTGAGATTTTATGCGTTAAAATTTTTTTTCAGAATAAAGAATGTTACTTCAAATTTTTCTCTTTTTTTTTATGTTCTTAAGGTACACTTTTTTTGGCAAATACAGTAATGTGGAAAACAAATTCTCACTGTCTCTCCTTTTTTTTCTTTTAACTTAGCAATTTCAATTCCATTTTTTTAGTTGTTAGATTTTTATTTATCTTTGATATTTCTTATCTGAAACTATTATAGTTTTTCTTCTCTTTACCTGTATTTATTTCGGATAAGCAAAGTTTTTGACTAACCTCTGTCTTTTATCAGTTTTTCATTATGATGCATATCAATCATAACTGAAAAAATACTAACAAAAAATTTTTACATTCTCTTAGTGACATTCCCTTTCCCACGCAGTTCAATGAACAAGAAATAAAATGAATAAATTCTCTATTATTTCAGAGTCAGAAAAACAATTCTAGCAGAAAAGAAAAATTATAAAAATTTAAGATATGTGTCTTAGTAGTTTTATAATTTTGTTTTCTTAGAATTGTTTTTCTGACTTAATAAATTAAACTAAAGCAAATTTGGATTTAGCTGCTTTAAGCGCTTTTCTATTTTGATTTATTATTTTAAATATTACTTACTTATTATGTCTTTTTCTGAATTTGTAAATTAGTTTCATTCTTTGATTAAATATTCTCTACTATATCCTTTTAATTAGATATGAATCTATACTATTCTTCGAATAGCCATAGTAAACTACTCTCTACACAAATATTTAAATAAATGAGTAAATTGTTGTTAAATGCTTCTTCATTAAAACTAAATTTTATCATTTTGATCTTTATTTATAATTAGAGCGTAATGTGATTTTATAAAAGGAAGAAAGTTAAAAGCGTATAATTTTAAATTTAAGTTTCGCTCTCTCTCTCTCTCTCATATTGTTTTCTAGGTAACCCACTACTTATTCAAAAAATTTAATAAATTGCCTCATCTTTGTTACATTTTTGCATAATTTATGAAGCCTTTTAAATACACTTAGCCAATATTTGTACCAGGCATGGTTTAAATTGTTTTAAAATTATTTGATAATAATTTGAATATAGATTCATTTTCTGCTTAGACCAGAAGCGATGAATAAATAAGGGCTGATAAATAATTTAACAGCTATATTTGCACTTTGTGACATATGTTCTTTTTCCTCTATATTTCCTTGAAAAATGTCTTCATTTTGAATATATGAATATTAAAAAAGATATATGAATATTAAAAAGATATGGATATTAAAAAAATAACAAATCCTAAAGAACATTTTTGTGCAATTACTATAATCCTGTATTTTTTAGAATTAACAATGATATAAAAGACATGTCAGTTAATTTACTAGAAACACTTACCACTAAATACTTATTATTACTCAGACGTAGAGTAGAGACAAGTAAATCAATGATTCGGGATAAAGATGTATCAATTACTTTAGTGAAAGTACTAGAATTCATGGAAAATGGCTTCACAAGAGCATGGACAAGAGGAAATCCAAAACTAAATGGATCTTTAAAAGATACATCAAGATAACAATCAGTCATTTCCTTGGCAATAGCAGTTACAGTGTCATTGTTTGGATGATTTATTGGAAAAAACAGCTCAGGAATTAAACTGAAATTAAATGAAAACCATCAATGCATTAAGCTATTGAATTTCAGGCTTTTCAACAAGTGTAAAAGCATAATAGTGATACAAAAAGTTCATAAGACATTGATAACCTAGAAAAAGAAGGTTCCTACAAATTTAGAGTTATCCAGTTTGATTAAATTAAATTTTAAATTCCACCTAAAATTAAAATAAAGTGATAAAGTAAATGGATAAAGAAATTAGTAAAAGGTCTTGTTTTTCTAATTAAATTTATTGATCAATTGACATATAAAAACATAAATATTCATTTTTATAAAATAATTCTTATATGTAAGAATAATTAAAACATGAATTTTTCTCAATGTATACATTAACTTTAGAACAAATACTGACTAAATGTGAGTCCATTAAGAATACATTAACGGTCGGAAAATCTGAAATGAATCGAGTAAAAGTGCCTTAAACAAATTTTAACTACTAGGTCCCTTAGTCAGATAAAAAAAAATTTCACAATTTTTATAATTGACAGTAATTTCACCTTAGTTTTAAATTATAATTAAGTAACGGAAAGTGGAGAGATTAAAATTTTGATACAAAAAAGTTCTATGGCACATGAATGTTGCAAATATAGATTGGAAATGAATAATTCTCGGAGTTAATTAGAGACCAGTTTTTTTTTTATAATTCTAAATAGATGAATTACTTTTTTTATATCCAAATAGACTTTTTTTTAAATCTGAATGTTTAAATGTGACTCATCCTTATCTGATGATTGACTGCAATATGATGCAATCGAAAAATAAATTTTTGGTAGGAAAAGAGCTACAATTGTACAAAATCATTTGAAACTTAAAAAAAAAAACAGGCTTGTGGGAAAAATGAGCATTTTTCCAGCTTTGTAATTTGAAAAAATCTCTCCTTAAGAAAGTGACAGAAAAAAAATCAATCATGAAGATGGTTTTAAAAGATAAGGAAAAGTAGGAAATAATTTAACAGAAGAAATAGAAGATGTACCAAAATTGGAAAAATAAGTCTGTAGTCCCTTGGAAAAACTGGAATTAACAAAAATTGAAATTAACATTAAGGGGGCAAAACTTTTGACTTTTCTAAAGCCAAAATTCTATGATAATACTTTCCAAATTACAGTTACCTTCTTTTGAGGACCAAAAATTCAAATATGTCGAAATACAAAATTTAACACACTTTTGCACACTTTCTAAACTACTTTTTACTTCAATCAATTCATTAAAGTTAAAGCATTTTTCAAGGCTCTTAAGTATAGTTTTGTAAAGTTTTTATATCCAATGCTTATTTATATTTATTTCGAATAAAAAAGTAAAAAACATACTTTAGAAAAGCCTTAGCTGATGCCAACCGTACACGGGCATCTTCATCTCCAAGTAAAGAAATCAAAATTTCCTTGAGCATCTTGTCTTGGTAATACGTGTCATTTGAGAAAGAACACTTAGAATGTTTGAATTCTAAATAATGCACTGCTTTAAATGGTAAAGAGGAAATCAGTTCAGCTAATTCTACCTATAAAAGTTTTTTCAAAAAAATTATTCAGTTATATTTTAATTATACTAAAATGAATTCAAAAATATAGTTATAAAGGAAGCAACAGATTATTCATTTCTAAAATATTCTGAAAACTATAAAAAATACTAACTACTTATATTTTTCTCACAATAACAATGTGTTTCATTTAAGCTCACGGACTATCAAAATCACAAAGTCATATGAATTTAATAATTTATCAAATTTATTCAATAGGATAAGCTGAAAAAGTTGATATATCATACATCTTTTAACAGTAATGTGGAAAAGTTGTCAACCACCATCATTGAGAAGTATGCAAAATTTAAAACTATGAATTGAAATTTTCTGCTGTCTAAATGAACCAAAAATTATGAAAACAAGATTTAATAAAATTCTTAATATTTAAGAAGATTTCATTGATCTGCATGTGGTAGTGCTTGCCGTTTTTTAGCAATAACAATAGCAATCTTAGAATTATAAGTTAGTATCATCTACTGTGTCAGTAACATGGATTAGACCAACATTAACACATAATTTTAAAATTTTGCACATTTATTATTGATAACAAAAGGTAACTTTAAAGAGCTACTGCAAAACAATTAACAAAATTTTTGATTTTTTTAAAAAATATTTTAAATATTTTTAGCTCAATTTTAATGAATTTTGGCCCGTTCAGGCAGCAAAAGATATTAATTCTGAGTTATAAGATTTTGCATGCTTCTACTTAATGATAGTAGTTGACAACTTTTGTGCTGTACTTCTTAAAATACTTTGAAATTAGTCTGTTTTTAGGATGATGTGGAAGGTAACAATAATTAAAAATGTGTGACAGCTGGTGTAGATTGACTAACTGAAGTACATGGAGAAATCAGAATTAAAATAATATTTTTATTTTGTTGCAGTCCTCAAGGTGAAAAAAAAAGTATCTTATTATCCAAGTGACATCAAGTAAAATCAGAAATTTTGCATAATATGAATAAATAGAAGGCATGGGAGATAACCCTCCAATGAACTACCTAATCAAACGACAAATTAAGTGGTTATTTAACCAACATTTTGTTGCACAGTTCAGTTGTCGCAATATTGAATAATAATTAGTTATACACTTGCATTGAAATAAAAATTTACTCTTTACATTTATTGAGAATAGAAATATTTGCATTCGCTCTTTATAAAATCGAATTAAAATTAGTAAATTAATTTATATATTTAAAAAGGGATTAGCAATGATTAAATTTATTAAACAAAGAAAATTTAAAAGCAAGGGCAAATGAATCAAAGGCATTTTCGAAAGATGAAATTATGGAATCTAACAGTGATGAAGAAAATGGCAAATCTTCAAATCCACCATTTTCTCCAACACATTGAAGAAGAAATTATTTTTCAGACTGAAAATTTTCTTCCAATGAAAGGTAGAACAAGAGAGAGAAACAGATGCCTTATAATTGTTGAAAAATTCACTGTGTACTTTAAGATAAAAAAAATAAACAAATAAAAAGATCAGATTTTTGTTTCATTAAAGTAATATGAGTTTTACTCCATTACAAATAAATTTAATTTAGTTTCAGATTGAATTTAGGTAATTAACAAGATATAATATAGTGAGATATTTTTTTTCTCCAGTCTGATGTGCATCGTTAAATTGAGGTTCTACAGCAGTTCAAATTTAATATTTACAAATATTATAAGGAATAAAACCAGCTCAATGCTTATTTATGAAAATCTGCAAAAAAGGCAGATATAGTAAAACAGGAAATAAAAGTGAATGTTAAATTCAAAAATTAGAAAACAGTAAGCATTTTATTGAACTATATTTCAAATTACTGCTTACTTTGGTGAGCCAATATGCATTATTTTTTACAGACAATAAGATATCCAGAAAATGAAATGATTCAATTGCGTCCATTGAGTTTAAGAGAAAACTCGAGCACTGTTTTAATCCAAGCAAGCCAAGTCGGGATGCCAACGAAGAATCATCTTTCACAACACATAGCAGTTTAGACAAAAGAAATTGCAATGCAGGGGCATCTATAAAAATATTATTAACAGTGCAAAAAATTAGAAACATCAAACATGCACATAATCTACCTCATTATTATAGCACCATAATATTTTTTATAAATTATAGTTGAAATAGGGCATAAATTTCTACTATGATATTCTTAATTATTATTTATTTAATGAATTTTAAGAGCACACATAGGTGGAAGTTGTAAATTTTCTTTAAATGTGCTTGTATTTCATACAATTCTCTTAAAAATGAACGCTTTTTCATTGTTTTGAGGAGAATATAAATTAAGTTAAAAATCATTAAATTTGAGTTAATAATGAAATTAAGTTAAAATAAATGTACAAAATATACAATAATACAAAAAATGAGTTTTATACAAATGTTCAAAAACATAAAAGTTGATTATTTAATTTTTAAAATATTAACCTTTTTTTTAAAAAATATTTCATAATTTATAATTTTTTTAATTAAAAAAAAGCATGCATAATGTTTTTTGAGTTCCCTAGTGGCTATAAAAACATCTGGCTGTGAAAAATTTAATTTCATTTTTGTTAAAATTATCACAAATTCGTAATGCATATATGAAATATTTATATTAAGGAAACCAAATTAATAAATTATTACATAATATGTGTTAGATAATAATTAAAATGTAAAATAATAGAATATATCATAATTAGATTACAACATAATGTGTGTTTAGATGTATAATAATTAAATTGCTACAGGAAATACGGAACTAAATATAAGTACCTGATTCAGTGAGTGATGCTACCCATTTACTCCACGAGCCTCCTGCCCTTCTTAATGCACTAGCAAGGAGGTGACCAATTAAAATTGCTGCTTGTCCTCTAATATGTGGATCAGGATGAGAAGAATATAAAATCACATCCCAAATTCTTTGAGAATCTAAAAGAATAAATATTTAAAATCTTTTAAATGAATGTGGGCTATGAATAAAGTTAATTAACCTAAAATTAAAGCAAAAATGAAGACACAAAACAAACAAAAATCTTGTTTGTCATGTGTTTTCTCCCCCAATGCTGAAACACAAGAGGACAGGAGAAAATACTAGACAAACAAGGAAAAAAATGGCTTAACCAATAGAGGAAGATCAAACAAAACAAGGAAGATAAAGAAACATGTGTATAGGTGAAGTAGGGGAAGAACTCCAGATGTGCAAGATGCAGAGATTAAATTGAAATAGATTTCCCAACAATACAAAAAAAATAAGATACTAGAAAGAGCAATACCTAAATTATTAATTAATGATATATTATTAGTAATGATCCAACTTCCTCCACACACCATTTTATCCTATCATCCTTTCTTCGTCTGAATAACTCAATTTATAAAGTGTACTCTATTCTTATTTGAATAAGGATTATGGATAAAAAATATCACAAATACACAACTTAAAAAGTAGAGTATGTAACCATGACAAGATATAACAATTTAAAGGAAATTACTGATTTCATATCACCAAACACAAATTTAACAGAGAAGCATTGCAACTTTTGACTGTTATAAATTCTGCTGTTACCACTAAGATTAAAAAAAAGTTTAAAGGAATCGGGACATGCGTTACCTTGAGATAGGACTCTCTTGTAAATAATGAATAGGTTACAAAAGTATTCAAGCAGCCCTTCAAACTTTTCTAGAAGATAATTAACACAAGGTAGTAATAAAATTGCTTTTTAAGTTAAAATGCCCAGTCTTGAATGAATTTTCATGAACTAAACAAAATAATTTATTCTCATGGCAGATACATTTCTGTTTTTTGTGTTACAAAAGGGTTAGAATATTAATGCATTATAAGAATTACATTATCTACTTTATTATATTTAAAATATTATTTATTATTATTATATTTATATAATGTCTTAGATACATATCATGGATTGTGAAAAATAAACTCCCTCAACTCAGAGCAGCGAAAAGTTTAAAAAAAAAAATTTTTTTTAGTGGGGCCATAGATTAAACGAATTTTCAGAAACCTTAAAGAGGAGAAATTTCTTCAAAGCAAAGAAAACAGATTTATGATGTGATTGGGAAATCTGAAGCAACAAGACTGCATGTACAAGAAGCATGAAGCAACAAGAAGCAACAAGACTTCATGCAACAAGAAGTTCATGTACTTCTAACATGAATTATAATATATGTATGGTCTGCAAAAAAATATGAACATCATGAAAAACTTTTGTTGTAACGATCGGATTTTCACATATTAAGACTCAATCTAAATGGTTCAAGAGCCTCACCTTAAATATGCTAATAAGCTAATTAATAGTTAATTAATTGGAGAAAATTTAAGGTTATGAAATCAAACATAAAAACGTACTTTCTCAGAATAAACATGCTTTTTCTCGACAGATTCGGATTTTCGAACCTCAAAATATGAGGATGGGGAAGTCACAACATAGGGAATATGGTCCCAATATTTTAAGGGGAAATAACTAATTTAGTTTTGTATAGTTACATATTGTGCCAATTACACTGAAGTTTCAATGGTCAGTTTTGCTTTGCTATCTAAAAATTTCATATTCTTATAAATAGTTTTATTTTTATTACGTAATTAGTCAAACTTATTCAAAACTTAATGGAACAACTATTCCATTATTGGAACATGCTTGAATATTCTTTCTACAAATGCTATATTTTTGCCTGATTATTCATCAGTTCAAACTTATAACAAAAGGGTAATTAATTGACCTCTAGTTACTTGTTTAAAAAATGTCCGGTAAATAGTTATTATTTAGAGCTGAATTTGATATTTTTCATTCCATGAAGCAGTGCATAAATAAAAATATGTTTTATTATTTAATTTACTACACATAAAACAGTCTCCTTAACTCTTTTTCAAACACATTTTCTTTTTTTTTTTTTTTAAATCGAGTTCTTTTCCTCTTTTTTGCAATCTGATGCCTCATAATACATTTACATAAAATATTTAAGCAGAAATCGTTAATGTTTACAATTTATTATGTTGATTGATATTTTCAATAAACAGCTTAATAACAGATTTTTCTCCAAGTAACTGTATATATTATTTATTCATTTTTTCAAACCAATTTTGAAGTAAGAATCCAATGGGGCTTTAAGTCCTTCAATTGGTTCTTTTAACTTATTTTATTTATAAAATTTATATTTTCAACAAGAACACACTGGTGAGCAAAAATTAAGGATGAAGAGGTTTTTCTGATGTAAGTTTGAACAACAGTGTTGAAAATCAATAAAAATCATACCATAGAACCCTCAAAATGTAAGAATAAGGGAAAGTAAACAACTCGCAAAAAAATGTAATTCATAGGAACAATATGGAACTTTATCGAAATATAGGCTTAAAACACAATTGTACAAATGACCAAATCGCCATTGTGATACGAATTGGCAAGGAAATTCTAGTCTTTAGTATAGGATATGATCACCTCTATGTAGGATTGACATCGTCTGCCCCTGCTGAGGACCAGTTTGCTAAAAAGCTCTTGAGAAATTGCTGCCCATACCTGTCGTAGTGTTATGAAAACTCATCCAGACATCATCTTCTGCGTTGTCTGTTGGCCATATCACACTGTGGCAACAAATTCATGTTGTTTAAATTGATGTATACCATACAATTATATTCACATAAATACTGCACTTCAACCGCTGGCTAGTTTTATTTCCTAATGACACGCCCCCGGTACGTCATGGTGCATATATGCAAACATTCTTTTTTTCCTTACTATGATTGGTCTGCGAAATGACCTTCTTCTCTGCCTGTTTTGTAGTTAAGCTAGTTTTTTACATTTTATCCTTAATTTCCGCACACCGTTGTATAAGCTTATTACAAAGATTCCAACCTTTGATCAGTAGTTTTCAAATTCTTTCAAAAGTTTTACAATAAAATCAATTTTGGCAAATTTAACATTCCAAAACATCTTTATGTTAACATTCTAAGCATCTTTCCAAAACATTACATAATTGATATATTCAACAAAAAAAAAGAAAGATAAAATATTTTTTCATCCATGTTTTAATTAACATAATAAAGAAATTTTCAAAAAAAAATATAAAGGAATACAGACCTAAGTACCATAGATGATATTAAAAACTATAAGAAAAGGCCATTAGGAAGAATGCAAAACATATAGTGGTTAAAAAAAGTTATACTCTTTCAAAATTAGTAAGGAAATCTAGGATAAATGTCTTAATTTCTTTCCTTTTTTAAGAAGCTTATTTTATAAATCAACAAAACAGAAAAAGGTTTTCCAATTTTTGGTTATCCTAAAGCAGATTATAAGCTATTTAAATAATCTCCTTATTTGAAGATAAACTCCTTTAAGAAAAAAAAATTTACAATTTAACAATGTCAAATATTCTAAAAAAGATGCATGGAAAATACTGAAAATAGATCAACCCAATCCAGTTTTAAAAATAATAGAAATTAACAAAAAGAAAGTAAACATAATGCATTATGAATTCTTATCTCTTCCATAGAAGAAAGAATGCATTCACACTTAGCACCAGAAAAGAGAAAAAACACACAGTAACCATAGCTTTGAAGGTAGAAAAAGGCATGTAAGAGGAGAATAGATGGGAGAAAACAGGACTGCACTTGTGTAAATTATGTTCATTTATACTGTTTATTAAATGATGGAGGTTCTTTTAAAAATGCAGGTTAGCATTTTTTTTTTGTAATATTTATTTTAGATTACTAGTAATGAAGAACTTTAAAACACCATAAATAGCATTATATTCAAATGCTGGAACACTGCAATATTTCTATCATAGGTTACAGTGATGAAAAAAACCATGAAAACATTAAAACACAAAAAACCTTACAATGGGTTATAATTTCAGAAGTCTGCTGTAAAAGGGAAAATTGCATAAAAACTATAGAGAATCCTAGTAATTGAAGTCCCTGCTAATCAAAACAAATTTAATACAAGATACAAATTAACTAAATAATTCGAACTTTTTTCCTTCATATTGTCATCTAAGAGACTGATGTAAATCAACATATAAATGAAAAGAGTTGAAATTAAAAGTTAAACAAATTAATAGAAATTCATAAAAATAAGAATTTAAAAGTGCAAAAATTTTGATAGTGTTAGACATTTAATATTATTTATGTAAAAACAATAGAGGTAGTTTTAATTAAAATTGAAAACAAAACACCTGTTACACACACCCTTGAGTACACAAATATATACAATTATTTCTATACAGGTAGACAGTTAGGTAAGAAATTCCCTGAGGGGAAAATTTCTTCTTTAAAATCTTACTCAAAGTTTCATAAATTCTGACCAAATGTTTAAGTACTTAAAAAAGGATGGAAAAAATATTTAACATTGCATAGAGAGAGAATGAACGAGGTATACAAATAAAACTGCATTAAGATAACGTCCACATGGTCTTAGGAAGAAAGAGTCGTTAAGGCGAGTTTCATATATGATAAAGTGGGTCCCGAAAAAAATCTTGTGCGATCACATATATGTGATTATGGTCTTGGAAGGGATAAAAATAATTTGCACCAATTTTTTTTGTCATTGATCTTTTGTAAAAATGTTTTTAAAACAGTTGAACTAGTGAAACATTTGATAATCTACCATGAAACACAGAGTAATCTTGCAAGTCTCAATTTCAGTCAAATCTAAACAAGCAATCATTACTGAAAGAGATCACTCCCTCTCTGACCTCTAAACAAAAACTGCACAGCTGTGTTAAGATCAGGTTGCAAGTGAATAAGAAATTCCCCTACAGAACAGGGGAATAGCAGAGGAAAGCAGGTATTTTATGGCATTTAAAAGAAATTTTAAGGACTTGATTTGTTTTTATTCAAAGCTTCTTTAAAATAAACTCATAACATTTCTATGCAACCGTTGATATTTTTCTGAAAAAAAGAACAGAAATAAAGAATTTTGTGTTGGTCGACCAAGGACAGACAATTTTTCTTTCAATCTCTAATGTTTTGCTTTCCTTCTTTTTTTTCACTTCATAATTTCAGTTCTCGTTCTTTATATAAACTTTTGTTATAATCAGTTTCTGAGAGGGAAATGGTATTAAAGAATTAAAATATGAATTAAAAAGAATAAAAAGTAAGAGCCGAGAACTAAAAATTGATTATTTTCCTACTACACAAATTGTTTATTTCCCATCATGACAATTATTCTTCCCTTTGTTTTATATAAGGCTTTTTCAGATAGAATTTCATTTTTTATCATCATTTTTGTTTGGGCATGGTACTTTTTCCAGAAAATATGGTAAAGTGGAAAATCAAAATTTTTAGTGTTAAAGAATTGAAACAGATGGAACGAGGTAGGAATTAAGAATTAAAAATAATTTTTTTTTCTGTTATTCCCAGATTTAATCTGTCATTTTTTTATATTACCCACTATTTTTACCTATTGGCTTAAATATTTTTCTACAAGAGTTTTTGTAATAGACTTTCGTTTTTATGATCCTTTTTATTACGGCATGTTTTTTCCCCGTAACATGCAGTGATGTGCAAAACTGTACTTTTTATATCCCTGAACTAACTAGTTAATTGATATTTAACATGTCATTTTATCAAGTCATAACAAACAAAAATATATTTTAAACCATTACTTTTTTTTTTACTGTTAAAGTTTTCTATTCATCCTTGCCTTAAAGATGAAATTCAAAAATAGTTTAGAGTTCAAAGTTTTCATTTTAAGTTTAAGAGTAGGAGTATTTGTTACTCATTTATTTTCACAATGTTAACATTTTATGACCTAAACATTTTTAATAACAGCAAACTATCACTTCAGAATAATGAATTTCAGCTTCTACAAAAATACAGCAGTTGGGACACATGTCACACTATTGAATACTTTTATTAAAGTTCTTAAATCATAATCATATTTATTCATACCTGTTAAATGTGACCCATCAAACTTTTCAATGTATAGTTGCAGAAAAAATCCATTTGGATATAAAGAGAATATATAGCTTAAGCAACCAAAAGCTAATGATTTCACGCTAACTTTTACATTACGATCAGGCACAGTACCACTTGGTGACCCATTCAACAAAAATGATGAGCAAAGTAGTCTTGTACAATACTTGAGAGCTATATCAGAATCTGTAAATGCACCAATGTTTCCAACCTAAATATAAAGAATTATTATAAGAAAAGGTATTGATTTAGTATCATGAGAAAAACTCCAGCGAGAACACATATCTAAAAATGAGGGGAAAAAGTGGGTTGTAAATCATCATTTCTAGCTTTCTGTCATGAGAGTAAAATATCTGTGATAGTCATAACATAGCTATTTATGCACATCAATCACTTTAGCCAAGCTATTATTTTTAAAAAAGTTTTTTGAAAAATCTCAAGTGAAAGCTAAATTTCGAAGGCTCGTATTCAATCAATGTAAGAACATTTTTGAAAACAAAAGCACAATAAACAATTAAAACCCAATATATTAGCATGGATTAAAAAATTAATTATGAGAAAGATAAGCACCAATAAGACTGCAAAACTTAATTGAGTGATATCAATTTAAAACAAAACTAATTTTAAAAAAATATTTTTAACGTCAATTATCCATTCATCCTAAAAAAGAAACTAACAAATATATAAACAATCCATATTTAATTAAAAATAATCATTTTTTTAAAATTAAATCAAGTAGAATAAATAACTAAAAAATAATGCTTTTTATTAACAGACAAATAAAAAATAAATAAATTATCCCAAAATATGAAACAAAGCTGGAAGAAAACAAAAAACAAAAGAACTTATTAATCAATAAAATAAAAGAACAACAAGTGATTTACTGTGATTATATCCAAGAACCAAAAATATAATAAAGAATAAAATTATAAAATGGGAACTGTAATAATGAAAAGTTACAAAAGTGGTAAAAATAAAAAAAATAAAAAAGCTTAATACTTTGAATTCAGTTTTCAATAGAGGTCCAGGAGAAGGTGTAGATGTGTTAAGACCCCAAAATTCATCATCTGTGTCTAACATATCTTCATCACTTGCTCCATTTTTAAAAGTATTACGTCTAGCTATGGAGAAAAATAGTCAATGCCACACATATACTTCACTGTGTATCATACTCAAATCAACTAACAGGATATTAATTGCAAACAAATTTATCATAGCATAAGGATAAGGTGATTCATGTCTAAAAACATATGGAAAATTAAATAATAAACAAGACGATATATTTCCAGACATGTTGTTGTATAAATGGTTAAATTCCATAAATAGGAATAATCATTTTTCTTAACAAAATTAACTATATGAAAGAATAAAAAAGGTAGATTGTTCAAGATTACAAATTATCCTTAATCATAATTGGTTGCAAGATTATTTTCAAAGTATGCATGATTTCTAGGCTTTAATTAAAAATTAATAGATTAAAACTAAATACTTATTAAGATATTTCAAAGAAAATTTAAAAGTAGTTTAAGAAAACAATATATTTAAACCAAAATAGATTTTAAATATACAATTTAAAGACATCAAATTAAGTTTACTTTCACAATCAAATTTACTAAAATAGTCATTGTTATATATTTGGAGATTAAAGAAGCATTTAAAACTTAGTAACACATAAGGAATTTAAAGTCGTAGTAAAGGTGTGGAAACATGGTTCTCCCTCAGACTCTATTCCAATTATGTTAAAGTTCTGAAGAAATTTTATACGAGTTGAAAACATTCATGTTCTCAACAGTTTTAGGAGCTTTTACTACTAAAATACTCAGTGAAATCCAAAAAAAAATTTCATTAAAAAAACAAAATATATTTAAGTATTTTTAAATTATATATGTGGGGCCCTTAAACATAAAAATTCTTAAATTCTAATTAAAATTTTGAGCCAACATTGATAAAAATAAAGTGAAAAAAAAATAGAAAAAATTATTCATTCTTAGGAATAAATCTTTAAAAAAAATATACAGTAGGGAACCGATTATCCGGATCGATCGGGACCATCGCTATTCCGGATAACTGATTTTCCGGTTTTCTGAATCGCTACAAAAAGCCGTTTTTTTAAACCCAACTAAAAAAAAATTTTGGAAATAATCTTAAAAAGAAGGAAAAACGATGAAGTAATACACTAATGATCATTTCTAAAATGATGGTAAGGTAAAAATCTTTCAAAGAAGAAAGAAAAACCCTAAAATCTTATGAGGAAAAAAAAAAATTTTTTTTAAATGGAGGGAAAATTCATCGAATTTCGTTCCGGTTTTTTGGTTTTCCGGTTTTCTGATTTCCGGATAACGGGTTCTGTACAGTATTACTAACTTTTTTTCATAACATAGTTAAAAATCTAACAGGATCCTAGGAAATCAATTTTTTTTTAGCTTTGCAGAAAGAGAATATTTAAAGGATCACACAAAATCTAGCGACAACTCTAAGCAATTACACTGTGGCAAAACAACCGTTAATATTTACTTTATTTTATTTTAATTTGTTGACATTTATACAGAATTAAATAATTTTCATATAAGCACTTTAATGCTTTTCATATAAGTGCTGTTTTTTTGCTTGAATAACATTAAGAGAAATATTTTTGTTTTAAAAACTGATTTTTTATTATTATGCTCATAGGCTTTAAGGAAAGAGATGCAATATTATGAATTAAATAGGCAATGAGATTGTAAAGAAATAATTATTTATTTAAATACAAATAAATAAATGTTATATCTATTCTTAAAAAAATTTTGATTAAAATATTTTTTTTAATAATTTAAATAAAATAAAGCAATAATCCCACACTGTGCACTTATTGATATATTACATCATTTTCAAAGACATTTCGTTAAAGGTCAAAGGATCTTTGTGGCCTTTCTCAGTCACATCATTAGTTTGTTTCTTCAAGGGTCTTTTATTGACATGACTAATTTGATGCTTTATAGATTTTTGAGCATCAGTCTTGGCAGATCAAGAAGATTCATTTTGTGCACAGGTATTAGAGGAAGAACTTTTTGAGGCCTTGAATTTTATATATTCTACATGCAACTCTTTCTGGAATTTTGCAGCTTTTTTCTTTCTTTTGAATAAATCGACAGCAGACTTCTTGCATAATATCAGCTCATACATCACAATCTGTATTGCATCAAGAGATTCTACACTCAGTCAGTTAGTTTCAAATATTATGATAGAGATCATGATGCTAAAAGTAGACTCAACTTTAGAACCACGGAAACAAGTGAGTATGACACAGGCCATTTTATACAGGAGTGGGAGGTACAATTTTAAGTTTCTGTCCACCACTTCTCTACTGGCTCTTCTTGTTGTAGTTATCATAAACAGACAGGATGGTATTTAAATATATATGTGTATATATATATATATATATACAGTGGAAAGTCCCGTATCCGGAATCGGCGGGACTTTCCGAAGTCCGTATATTTGATTTTTCCGTATAATTGACCTCCAAGGTAAACAAAGCTTAAAATGATCTGAATCTAAGAAGCGGAAAATAAATAAACATTATTTTTCGGGCAATAATGTTTTAGTATTAGAATGTTACTAATCAATCATAAATAAAATATTAAAAAAAAAATAATTATTGCTATTCTAAAAATAAATATAGAAAACGAAAAAAATTCCCAGTTATGAAAATATTAATTGCTCTCTCCACCATTTTGAACTAGAACGATTCAAGCAAGAAGGGGAAATTCCCGTCATTCAATAAGGTGGGTAGGTGGAGAAGAAAAATTCATTTCCTCCTTACTTGTCATTCAAGTTGAGGGCGGGGTAGTGACAAATTCTTATTTTCTCTCCCATCATTGGCTATCAATCAAGCATAAAGGCGTGGCATGCTAATTGGGTTCTCTTTATTTTTTCTTGTGTGACTAAAGGGGATTCCCCCTCCACTTTAACATTATTTGAAAGTTT